GTCATCTTATATCCATCTTCAAGATTTACACGTTTCCAACACCACAAACGTATACTAAATAATAATAAATACTACCACATTTTACAGACTCTTAACATAAACACAAGTGCTTTACAATCGAGCTTTATTTCTCTGTTCTCCTCTCAGTCCGATTTTTTTAACCAACTCCAAATCAGAAGAAATTGAACACATTTCTAATTTCTATGTAATAAGCCGCCTTTAAAAAAAAATCATACCAAAAATGTGTAACAATAAAATTATTGTTTGTTTCTTTCAAACACAGTTGACAATGTTTGTAAATATCACACTAATAAACTGGTAGCGCTGTGCTGGTCTCCCGGCCTAATTTCTCCTCTTCTTTCTTGCCACAGATTTCGGAGCAGCTTTCTTCTAACAGACAGAAAAATTACAAAGTTTTACACCTTACAGCTGCAGTATGCAACATTTATGAAAACTATACTTTTTAAACAGTTCTGTAAAAACTATCACTATATCGTGACAGTATGCTATAACATGAATAATCTGTGAAAAAATGAAAATCGAGCTCCTCTGCTTTCTTCCGCTGTTATCTAGAAACAACCAATCAGAGCCAGGAGGTGGGGCTTAACGCTCTCAATCACACTGATCACTCCCCCACCTACTCTGGTTTTCCTGTAAGGGTAAGTTGCTTCTTTGTCACTAACACATTGAGCAGTGAGTACATGAGTTGATTGACAGCACTAAGCCCTTCCTCCTGGCTGTGATTGGTTATTTTTGACCTAGAAATGGCAACAGTAGCTCATGGAGATCGATCTTTTCAGATTATCAGTCTCAACACACCGACAGTTTTAACAAATTTGTAAAAAAAAAAAAAAAATTATAAAGTTATACACTGCAGGTTTAATCATAACTCAAGTGAAGCTCTGAATATTAGGTTTTGCTTCTGAAGCCTCTATTTCTGCCAGTCACGTTGTACCTTAGTCAGTGGCCTGCTGGGTTTCTTGAACTGTGCAGACTCTGTTTAAAGTAAAGTTAGCACACTTTACTTTACAACGTTCAAAAAATGTCAAAAATACAAGAAAATTGTTGAAATGAATGACTTTATTTAGACAGAAACACCTACCGTCCTCAGAAGGAAGATCTTCATCGCCTTTTCTCTGAAGAGGATTATGTAAAAACAGCAAAGGAAACAGAACCGAAATAAAAAAAGTTGACTTTGAAAAATGACAGGAAGTAAATAATGAATGATGGACCAGCAGAGTCTCAGGTCTAAACCCACCTTGATCGCCTCTTTCCTCAGGGAAACCTGCACAGGTTCCTTCAGATAGTTTCCTTCCTGCAGTTTTTTCACCTGGCCTTGCTCCACAGACACTCGGACCCTCAGGGAGTGGTAGGTTGTGTGCACTTGGCCCACTTTGAAGTGCACTGGAACCCCTTGAAACCACAGCCGGTCGTGCACCCCCTCCTGGAAGCCTGGTGGTTGGTAGTCTGCAGGGGTGACTTTAGAAGCGAAGCAAATAAAGTCAGAAAACGAATAACTTCCATCTACTGGTGTGCTTGGGTTGTGCTTAGGAAGGACAAGAACTAGTCAAAGTAACAGAAATGAAAAGAGTTGCTTTATGGCCTGCTTTTCAGTCCAACATAAGCTGCATGTTTCCTGTGACCGTACTATTGCGTAATTTGATATTTCAAAAATGAATTTGCTTAATGGAAACATATCCGTTTAGAAAATTGTTGTTTTTCAATAAAACGTTTTGGTGCAGGGATGAGGTCTGTTTTTTATTTTTTCTGGCCGTATCAAAATTGGTTTATTTCGTAAAGCTGCAAAACTACAAAAGTCTCCCTCTATTTCAAACTGTCGTGTCTGGCTTTACTTAACTCCTGAGAGCAGCTCAGCCTCCAGTAACCATCTAATGTTTTACATAGTTACATAGAATAAATATCTATATAAAAGCTTTATTTTGAAGGCGTGGTGGCTTTTATTTTGCCGTCGCAGTGCGCTGCGATCAATTACACGTAGAGAAAACCCTGCCATGTTAATGACGATACATGGTGCATCAATAGAAAAAAGAAAAACTTTAAACATTTTAAAGAACCACAGATTTTTTTTTTTCTATTTTTAGGTTTAACATTTTTCCTTTATGGGATGTTGATACTTATGGAAAATTACATAGAAAAATAGCTTACAGGCTCCAACATACTAACAAGAAAATTTTATCAAGAAAAATATTACACATACCTTTATTGTCATTCTGTTGTGGAAATTCAGTGAGATTATTTCATCAGAAAACTGAACTATTATTACAGCTGGATTTAAAAAAAAAAAATTTGATTCTCTCTCATGTGTAGCCAAAGTTACTAAGAGCCATTGTTGAAGATCCAAGGAGCCACTTGCAGCTCCAGAACCGCAGGTTGAAGACCCGTGGCTTACACAAGGGGCAGCTGTTAATTCTCCGTGTCTTCAGCAGCATTCTGCTTTCGGAGTTAATCACACTGAAACGGTTCGGCGTCTTACTCTCATCGTAGTAGTAGAGCTTCATGGTGAGGTAGACATTGCTGGGCAGGGCGTCCAGGTTCTGCAGCAGCAGAAAGAGCTTCCTGATGAGCAGCACGGAGGCTCTCTTGGTGTCCTCCAGTGCCACCTGCATCCCCATCGCATTGTCCCTGAGGTTTCATGAAGGATTTACCAACCTTCTACTGAAATCAGCTCATAAACTGCACGTATTTATTTCTTTACTACAAAAGGAAACCCATCCCCACCTGACTATGTCCATTTCTGGTCCCTTTTCAGTGTATCTGAAGTTGAACTGGTAGGACTCGATGATGCACTGCAAGTTAAACAATGCAAACTTAACATTTCTGATTGACACGTCACATTATTAAGTGTGTTATACAACTTACGTTACGGTCCTTTGGATCAGTGTAAACCTAGATTTTGCCCCGCATCCAAAAAAACGGAAATTGTTAACATTTTACACCAACTATCACGTCAAATCTACATATTGCTTCAGTAATTACAAGGTACTCACCCCAATGCATATAATCTGTAGCTGTTATAGGAAAATATGGAACAATAATAAAAATAAAAAAAAAATGGGGAAGAAATTGGCTGTTTTAATTCTAAAGGTAGTAGAGGACGGGACTTACATACTGTTTCTCTAATGCGTCAAAACAGCCCATCATCCTAAAGAAACCATACGCAAGGACAAAAATGTAATTTATCACTGGGAGAGATAACGACAGCTTTCTTTCAGATCTACCTATTTAAAACTAAATTTACCATTTCACAATTTTGTTGGCGCCGGAGGTGTTGCTGTTCTCACGCAAAACCTTGATGCACAAATCTAGCAAAAACAGACATTGATTTTTAGAGTATAACATATTAAAACATTTGTTTCCAACACATTCCATTACTGTAAGATAACGTTATAATTTGAGGTAATTGCAGGGAGTCCATAAAGAAGGCAAATTATGGAGAGATTTTCTGGAATTTTCTGCACTGTATCCTGCTCACCTTCAAGATACCTGGACCGGTAGGCGCACTCTGGAAAAATCCCTCTCAGGTAGGTGATGGAAGAGACTGCGATGGCCATCATCCTCTTGACAAAGACCAGAGACTCTTGTTTGTTTTTTAAGTCATTGATGAATAACCCGGTCCACTTGAAAAGTGAACAAAAAAAAGGGAAAAAAAGCCGTGGATATGAAATACAGGTGCATTTCTGCAAATTAGAATATCAGCAACAAAAATCACAAATTTCAATACTTTAGTTCTAAAAAAGAATTTTTTTTTTCCTCACTGTCTTAAGTGAATTCAGACCAAACTTCTCTTTCAGGTCAGTTAGAATTACCGAAATAAAACTAGGTGTTAAATATCCTGCTTTTGGGGTAAAATAATCTAGTGGAGGTTTAGAGAGTCTACGAAATTGTAGTTTTTAAAGTGCAACAGATTAAAGATGCTCAAGGTAGTGAAAAATTAGGTGTATTTGCCTGTTACTTCGACTTTATTTTTTACTTTCTGAGAAACTATACAGGGGCTTGAATATTTCTGTCTACTGAATGTAAATAGTTCGTGTCCTCATTTATTGAAGTGAACCTCGACAAGCTAATAATGGGTGTGTTCTCTATTTTATGAACAAATAATGACGTCAGTTACATTAGAAATGCCATTCACGAACGCATTTTGAGCAAAGACATATTTTCGGTGTTAGCTTTTATGGAGTGGGTTGTTTCCAAACCTCAGCAGTTTCCTCCTTGTTTCCTCTCAGACGCATTTTCCCAGACGCCATTTTTACTCCTTCTTTCTGCGTCTAACCGTAGTTAGCCGAGTCACTTCCAACGGTTAAATTAGCTAGCGAAGACGCCGAATAAGCTAAGAAATATGTAAATATATCCAAAAATACAATGATTTTCTTCTTTCGAAGTTAGTGTGATGTCTCGAATTTTGAGTACGCTCTAAGACGATATTTTGTAACCAAGTTAGGACTCTAGGAAACAAGAGCCCGCAGCTCTTCCAGTCAACTAACGATAAGCTTTAATTAGCTAACAGTTTTCCCGCCCTAGAAGAAAAAATTTACTGTATGATAAAATGGTCACGAATTCACATTTACCGTCATAACGATTTTTTTTTTTAACTCGGGTGGGACGGGTTAAAGATTTTAATTTCAATTTTTTAAAAAAAATCAAATATAATTTAACATAGAGAAAAAATAGGTGAAAATTCTGAATCTACTGTAAAATTTTAACCTGCATTGTTCCAAGACAATGCCCTTATGCAAGTCTTGAATGGATTAATCAACATTAAACTTCTGCAGTAGCCCTACCAAAGAAATACAAAATATTTTTTTAAATATTTTGTATTTAAAATACAATGTTCATTAGAATTTTTCTTCCTAATCAATCCGAAGTAAACAGGAGAATACCAGTATTTCAAGTGTGTTCATTCTTATTATATATATATATATAAAATTGAATTTGATTCATCTTTACAAATTATTGTATACAGAGAAAATTCAAATGTCTACTTAATTTTACAATTTATTTAAATTTGAAGGTTTTCAGAAATTGTAACAGTTTTGTTGACGAACATGAAAACATCACCATATAAGTGAAACACATCATTTATTCAGGTGAAATAAGAATTTTGTTCAGGGTATAGAAAAAACAACAACATTTTGAGCACAGATAGGCTCAACTTTGCTCCTTTGTATGTACCACTAATGATCGACTGCTCAGACCTGTCAAAAACTGACCACAGTATAAAATAGCTACCACAGCATAATTACTGTCCATTGGTCCCAGGGCCACAGTTTACACAGACATAATACACACACTGTATGATGACGACATAGCTCTGACTCAAACATTATTGGACGTGCTATCACAAAATGAAATCTGCTAGAGCAGACAGCAGACTGTGGTCTTGAGTTTATTACTGCTTGGAGAAGAAATCTTTGCTTTTCTGCACGTCTGGCTTGATGGTGTCACTTCCTGGTTTCCAGCCAGCTGGACAGACTGAACAGATAAACAAGTAATGAGCCCAGGCAGATAGATTAAAGATAAAAGAGGTTCCAGAAAGGAAGCGTGTACAATTTCAAAAGAAAGTGGCAAAAACAGAAGCAACACACCAACCTTCTCCATGTTTGTCTGTGAACTGAAATGCTTGAACCAAACGCAAGGTCTCCTCAACGGAGCGTCCAACTGGGAGGTCGTTGATGGTGATTTGTCTCAGGATACCCTTGTCATCAATGATGAACAGACCCCTAGAATACACAAAATGTATATGAATCGTGTGGATTTTAAGATCAATTCACAACAAATGCCACATCAGGTTCAATCAAACTGGCTCAAATAAAAATCAGCCAAAGGTAAAGCAGACAAAAGCTGGGAAGTCAATTGTGACCTTTAGTAATCGGAAAGCATTTTGAGATTGGTGCATAGACCAGAGGGCAAAACCTAACATCAGCCCCACCTGTAGGCGATGCCTTCATCCTCCTTCAGGACACCGTAGTCTGTGGAGATGGTGCGCCGCGTGTCAGACACAAGTGGGATCTTCATGGCACCTAGACCGCCCTGTTTACGTGGTGTGTTCGTCCTTAAAAACGGCAAAACAGGAAATGTTGAAGAACTCACTATACAGAGTCGTCAAGAATGCAAAAACAACAAAGGATTGTTAAATACCATGCAAAATGGGAGAAGTGAGAGTCTACGGAGGCAGCGATGACTTCGCAGCCAATCTTCCTGAACTCCTCAGCGGCATCGCTAAAAGCGATGATCTCGGTGGGACACACAAACGTGAAGTCCAGCGGATAAAAGAAGAAGACAACATACTTTCCTGTGCAGAGAGGAAATACCACATTATTTTTGTACTTCTATGCAGGGGCTGGGGGAATAAATTCATGTCAATAGGTAGCATCTGTTAAAAAAAATAAAAACCATTTCCTGCAGCGAAGGAAAGGTCTTACCTCTATAATCCGACAGCTTCAGGTCCTGGAACTGTCCATCCGGCATCACCGCTTTAGCCAAGAAGTCTGGGGCCAGTTTTCCAATCTTTGCGTTGCCTGCAGCCATCTTCAGTCAGACTGAGAAGGAAATGGGCGAGTGTCACACACATCCTCTCTGAAAACTTACAGCTGCCTATTGTTTATTTTATAAAAGGAATGTCTAATGATGCACAACTTGTGCAATAAAAAAAAGTGTATAATTTAAGTCTGTGAAATTGTTCACATGGCTACACTAATGTTTAATATTTTATTAAATTTTTCAGGGTTCCACTTCATACACATTTTCAATACAGTTCCAGATGAAAAATTATTTATGTTCTCAAAGATTTTTTTTTTAATTTTCAAATAGTATTCAAAGTTTTTTTTTTTTTCTTGTTCACTTTCAACTATAAACAAAAGCTTTCTTGATTATTTTACTGAGGTTAGACAGAATCTGTAAAGCATGGGTGGAGGAAATGCTGATATTACAAAGCTATACATCCTGTTTCTTGCTCCGTATTTCTTCTACATGTGAAAAATAATTAAATTAAATTCCAGACTTTTCTGCTTGTTGAACACAACGACAGTTGGTTGCAAGAAATGTTTATGTCAGCAATTCTCACACCTGACTTTAGGTACATTACATTTCCCTTTGGGGTTCATGAAGTATTTTTGAATTTGAACTCAATTTAGTGTGAGAAAAATGCTAACAGATTTGAGAAATCTAAATGTATAATGACTTAATTATATTGCTCCGCAACAAATCTGATCATTCACTGAGAGCAAAAAGCCGCAAACAAGGTAATGTGCATAATATCTTACAATAAATTACTCGGGCTATGATACGCACAGAAAGCAGCAGTCAGTTGGGATCTTTCGAAACATATCCCATGACCACTTCTCTTGTTTCACAGGTGTTTCCGTATATGAATAAATGCACTTATTTTTTGTCATTGTGCTTTCGTCGACGAGCGCGTGGCGCTTATGAAAAACGACCCTTTACGAACCGAAATGTAGGTATTTACCTGGTTAACGGAAGTACATTCAAAAATGACTAAAAAGAAACCCCGATTTCAGATAAATACATCAATGTCGGACAGAAAATACTGATTAAGCCAACTCTTGTCACACTGGATTTACAGACGACCGTCCCATTTTCTGATTTAAAAAAAAAGAGGAAAACACTTGTTGAATGCTTCAAAAACACGAATGAGAACTCCCTGATCTTTAAGCCTCGCGAATTGGAAGCTTAAAACAAAAAACACTACTCCAAAACAACACATATATAGAGAAAAGTTGTCTTTTTTTAAAAATTTTTAAAACACCTACCTTTTGTAGAATTTCTCCTCGCATCCACAGCTGTACAGAGTGCAGCGGCTGGCTTTGTCGACTGGATTTATATACTTTCACCAAAATCTCGCGATACTTTTACCAAACAACGCGACGCATCTCCTCAGTTCACTTCTCCAGTCCTGACCACGCCACAATGTAGCATGACTTTGCACTTTCCAAACCTCCCCCTTTCTGGGAATGTAAGTTACTCGAAGGAAAACGTCGAGGAAACTTTCAGAGGAAGTGTTAAATAACCGTTTTATGCAATTTGTCTATTCTTACCAGTCACTTTCGAAAATATGTTTATTGACATAATATATTATTTATCCAAAACATAAGACGTATTTTTTTCGAGGTTCATTCTTCCGCAAAGAAACCAGGAAAGAGTCTTTAAGTCAAGAAGTTGGTTGCCATGTGACTCAACCCAATTCCGTGTGTAGAGTACATCCTTATCACCATGAACAAGCAATAAAAATAATCTGTATTTTATGGTATATTCCTTCATTGAATTTCCTTCAAAATCTGCACTTCATACAAAAGGTCTTGTTTGAGTTCTCAAAGCAGCCATGTTTTATATGAGACAAAAACTAAGTTATTTAACACAGAGTAGCAGATTATGTTTAGGCCTGTCAAAGTAAGGCCTAAGAACCTACTAGCACCGTAACTGTCAACCATAATGTTGGCAGCATCATGCTGTGGAGCTGCTTCACAAGTTTTTGTAATGGTAAATAATACGTGATTGTTTTTTTTGCTCACTATTCTATATGTAAATTGTGTTGTTTTTTAAGTCCCTTTTTTCAAGTATCACCTCTTAAGCTGAGAAAAAGAAAATAATGGGGTTTGCATATTTAAGAGAGACTTTTTCATTTTGTGTGACATAATTCTGCAATTAAAATGTTTAAAAAGGAAGACAGAAGTTAAACGTAAAATAGATTATGGAATTAATCCTGCGTCAAAACAGGTAGTGCGACTGCCTATTAGATAACTAAATGCCACATGCAAAACCATCATTCCCTATTATCCTACTACATATATTAGGCTACGTTACATGGGCAACAGTGACATGAAATATGTGTTCAGAAGAGTCAAAGTTCAACTTTTAATCCTTACAGTCTGCTCCAGCTGTTAAACATTAAAAAATATATACTTAGATGAAACTTCCTCCTTTCTTTAAACTTGTGTTGCAACATTGTGTACTTTTAATCAGTTCGCTTCAAAAGGAATTTTTCTCTCTCATTTCCTCTTCACATGCTGCTGATTTGTTAACTCAGTGAATAAGCGGAGGGATGCCACACATCTTTGTCTGCAGACTTTTCACAATGGAGGCAGTTTCTGGTGGTTAGTGAAAACGGAAGTTAAACTAACAGTTGTTAGTCTGTCTGGTTATGACATGTGTCGCATCGATTGTTTTTATTTGGCTTGGCAAGATATTAACCTGGTTTCAAACTGTTTGTCAAATAGGTGTGGATTTTATAAAACCCTGGATAAAAACATGAGCAAAAATCCCGCTGACATGTGTTTGAGAGCTGTGCTTCTTAATCAATATTCTATATAACAGGATAACAAAAGTGGAACCTCAGAGGTATTGCATATTGCACTGTATTTTGCATAATCTCTCGTGATTTAACAGTAATGTAGTTGAAGATTTTACCAAGTCATTTTATAAACAGCAAACTAAACTGACTATTTACATTCTTCTGCATGTTTGTTCTGTCCCCTACATGGCTTGTGGCAAACCTCACCTTACGACCTTTTAATGACAGCTGTATTCTTGCCACAGAACTGGCGTTAAGGCTTAAGGAACTCAATTACACCTGAAGAGGAAGAACACATATATATTTTTTAAAAAGGCAGAAATTCAAAACAAAATTGTTTTTTGCAGTCTTGACTCGTATCAATCTGTTTTACCTAAGGAAAACAGGAGTTTTTCAAAGCTTAAGCAGCCTACTCGCCTTCCTCCATCGTCTCTTGTCACCGATTGTATTTGCACACCGTTGCCATAGGAGACATCTCATCAAGGGCCAGATAAGAGGGTCGGGGCACATAATAACCTCCTTTTAGATGCACCATTGTAGGCTCAGGATCAAACACCGTCCTGTGTTCATCTCCTGTCTCACAATATCCCCGTAATTAGTGAATACGCTCAACGGCTGATTCTGAAGCTGCTGGATGTTTGAAGGGCCCCTCAGGGGCTCATTGTCTTGGTTTCAATGAACCCTGAGGAATAACAACAAAGTTGCATCAGAGATACGGTGGGGACCTGTAAAACTGATAGAAATGTGATGAGTCTCTTCCACCAGACGTAAAAACAGTGATGACAGTGATATCACTGCTATGTAGCTGTGACGCGTTATTCTTCATCAACAAAAGATTTGCAATCATATAAAAATTAGAACACCATTAAATGTTCAGTTTTTTACTGAGAAATGTAACCAACAAAACAACATCTTTCAAAGGGGCAGCATCATGTATTTCCAAGGCCATTTTATAGCACAATCAAGTAAATACATTATCTTCATTTGTTATGAAAACACTATCACATATGACTTTAAAAAATTTGACATTGCGTTCCGCTCAATTTGAACTTGCTTGGACAACCAGACCTGGGCTTGTTGGCAGCTATTTCAAATGTCCTTCACATTTAAACTATTTTTGGAACAACATAAAGTTTCCTTTTGAATTTTTTAGATCTGTAGCCAGCCACAACCTTCTGCCACCACCATCTTCCTGAAACTCTTCCCATCTCTTTGGAGCTCACCGTGACACCGCAGTGCTGTGAGGCTAATGGCCCAAACCAAGATGAGTCCCTGATGAGCTGTTTGGTCTGGGGTTTGAATGTTCTCTCTGTGATACAGAAGGTTCTCTCTGGGTACCCCCATTTTCTGTCACAGTCCAAAAACAATTTTGTTGTTTGGAATTTCTAAGTATTAATAACAACTTAAAAATGAATGATTATTTATTGTCCGGTGTGTCTGTGTTTCCCTGTCATCACAGTTTGCAATGGCAAACTAGACCTTGCGACCTTTAAAAGTATCATGTGGGAATGGAAAACAAATGGATGGATTATTTCACAATATATCCATATGTGCAATATAGTACATCTTTGTCCCTACAGAGGACAGACTGATGAGTGAGAGGCTGACTGAGAGAGGCCAGGCTGAGACTTGTTCTGACACGGTGGAGGCAAGAAAGTCAGCAGGAGAAACTCAGAAGGGATCTGCCAGTCACAGCAGGGTAGGACAGCAACATGCAGAGCAGAAACACAAACAGGCACCTGCTAACAATACAGCAGCAGCACATAGATGCTGCACCGCTTCCTCTTTTGTTTGTTCGCTTAATAAATCTAAACAGGTTTCATAAATCTGCAACTGTTTTATACAACATTTAGGTCACGCATGAAGTTAAATCTGTTGGATCCTGGTTATAGTTGGTCTTCTTTTGATGCTTTAGGTATGCTGACTTCTTATGCAGAAGGATGCTTAATATTATATTTTAAAAAAAGCTTGCAGTTTAAAAAAAAGCAATAGAGGAACTCTGTAAATGATTGTTTTTAAGAACAGGGCAATATTTGAATATTTTTAGTTTATTAAGATATAATTTACATGACCTGATAAGAACCTGATCTATATAATTTACACTTAAGATCTTTAAAGCAGAGGTCAATATTGATTTTATTCTACTTGCCAGTAAAGACATTTTGAATGTTCTTTTACCTTTGATAATTTTATGGCTTATTGCTTTTTCAGGTTCAGTTTTTGCAATAATGACATTTATAAAATGATCATCTCACCTCACAGGATGCTTGCCCTGGGCTGGCATATTAATCTACGTCAGAACTCCTCACTGGTTCCTATTTGTATTTGGTAACCAACAGTATCTACTTTATGGTGCATTTGTTCACACAAAGCACCCCAAAACCCCCCCCCCCCCCCCCCCCCCCCCCCCCCCCCACCCCTCACCCCTTACACCTAC